GGAGGTGTATTAGAAGTATACTGGAGGTGTATTACAAATATACTGGAGGTGTATTAGAAGTATACTGGAGGTGTATTAGAAGTATACTGGAGGTGTATTAGAGGTATACTGGAGGTGTATTAGAAATATACTGGAGGTGTATTAGAAGTATACTGGAGGTGTATTACAAATATACTGAAGGTGTATTAGAAGTATACTGAAGGTGTATTAGAAGTATACTGGAGGTGTATTAGAGAACTTGTCAAATATATGGTCGAATGGGATTCCAGTTTCTTCGTCCGTCTTTCCTATAAACTAGTCGTTGATTTCGAAGCGTAGTTATTGTAACTTTTGTGTTTATTATCTTGATAATGATACCAGGAAATATTCCCAATTTCAATACAATGGCATTTGGATCGGAAGGTTCACTATGATAACCATATACATTATTTTGCGAATGAAAGTGTTACTCCAGATTGGCTTAGATTATCCTGTTCTAAGCGCTATTTTGTGCTGGTTTTCTACTTTCATATACAGGACTGAAAGATTCGTTCTTAAAAATGTATCTTTACGTCTTTCAACGATCTGTTTATATGAATATCCTTTGTCAGAAAAGAGCATGAATAAAACTTCAGATAAAAGTCTATTCATGGCGGTATTCCACTATCCAATGGAGGAGAATTTGCTGTGGAGTACAGACATTTACATACTAATTATGTTTTTCATAGTGCCACTCCTTGCATCTACGTCGACACTTTCTGCATTAGCATGCGTAAGTAGTTTTTATGAAGTGCGATTAACCCTTTGCTTAAACCGGCAAGCATGTTTAAATGGAAGAAATATATAATGTCAAATAGGCTTAGGAAATATTTTATTATTTTTGTGCAATGTAGCTATATAGACAAGTCGTAAATATATAGAGGGAAGTAATGTTATCTATAACTGTCACAAATCTAACATCAAAGAGGAAGATAGTGACAATAAAAATGTTGTTAAAGAACAAAAAGCCCAAATTAACAAACAACTGCTGATGAATTAACATAATTAATATTTTTGTCAATGTTTCGTAGAGCTCTCTCTCTCTCTAATTATGCTTTATACCTATAAACATATATTTATACACATCTTATTTTAGAATAAGTAATCGTTGTGGTACTTAGATATTTAAGACTTTAGGAGCTTTGTATGAGAATATGACTGAATTTTAGTTCATATTACCTCACTTAATATCAAGTTGAGTTCGAAACAACACAAGTTATCGTTTAATTTAGGCTAAACATTCCTTGCACTACTTAAGTTTTATCAACTAATCATTACATATCCTGAGTTTCAGTTAATTTGGAGAGAACTAGAGGTTAAATTCCAATTCATTTTGATTATAATCTAAAAACGTAAGCTAACGCTTGAAGTTTGAGGGACTTAATAGTAACATAATTATTCAATATTATTAAAATGTTGTATGAATGATGTTTCGTTTGTGTGTATTTTTGTTTCGATAATTTCTTCTTGAATAATAAAGTAGAAGGTATAATACTTTAACGTTCGTTTATTTGTTGTTAAGGGCAAAGCTGAATAATAGGCTAACTGTACTGTCCACAGTGCAGGAATCGAGCCCCTAATTTTAGCGCCATATAAGTAAGCCCCAAGCTTATGAAGCTCAGCCACCGAAGGCTTACTACTTGGAAGATGAACTATGATGTGTAAAACTTCATAGTTTGATATTTCATTCCTCAGGTTGATTGAGTAACCTGGAACTTAGAACCAGAAACTGTTTTTGATGTCTCTTTCGTAGCTATATGAGTTTTTCTTTATCTTCAGTTTTTAATATTTATTTTAAGATTCGTTCTTTATAGCTCTACAGCAAACAGCAAGTACTTCTAATATCCGGTGAGTCTTAAGATACGAGAGGAATAAAGCGTTCCTAAAATATTTATTTAACCGAATTATACATGCTTATTCGAATATCTTAGAGTTTTATGCCTTTTGCTTGCCGTAGTTTTATTTCCGGGTGTTTATTACGTAGATTTTAGCAACCACTTCAGCACTGTAGAAGCTACCAGCGAAAAGCTAATAGACTAGAACGCGTTACTACTGTTATTGTATTGTGTAGTAAAAGTCACATTATGTAAAGAAAATATATTTATTATACCCTTAGAGAATATTACGCCTTCTTCAACTCTGAATAATTTATGATACTTTTATGTTTTTTTATTTTTGAGTACGTGAATTAATGTTTGTAATTAAACACAAAGTTACACAATGGGATATCTGTGCTCTGCCCACCACGGGTATCGAAACCCGTATTCTAGTGTTGTAAGTCCGCAGACATACCGCTGTGCCACTGGGGGGCTTCTTTAAAGAAACAAATGAAAAAAACTGGATTATCAAAATAAAATATTCAATAAATAACACTTTGATGTTTTTTTCTGAGAAGATTCGTCATCATACCAGCCATAACACCTTTGATAAAAACAATGATTAGTACCAGCGTCATCACATGATGAATGTTCTGGGAGGGGCTCTCAAAATCGAAAGTTATTTTTTAACATTATTCTATTAAATTCGCACGTTTTTATAATCTTTATATTTTATTGACGTCTGAGTTGACTATTTGATTGATTTTTAATTCAGTTTACTAATTTTTTAGACTTATAGATTCTATATTTCCTCTATTATTTGTTAAATGAAGCTATAATGAATAATTGTAGCTTATCTCCTTACTTACTTACTTTTATGGCACTTTCCCGATTGGCTGTCTAGCATTATGCTTGTGATGTCTACAAGTAATCATTTGATTAATTACAAAGAATTATCGAGTTGGTCTAGTAATATTTAGTTTATTGTTTGTTTGTTTCTAATTAAGCACAAAGGTACACAATAGGCTATCTGTGCTCTGTCCACCACGGGTATCGAAATCAGGATTCTACCGTTGTAAGTCCGCAGACATACGGCTGTGACACTGGGGGACTATTTAGTTTATAAAAGTCCTCATTTGTTTATTACATTTTATTAAAGTGTTTACACTTACTTTAGTACTTGTTTAGTGTTATAGGTGTTTCCATTGACTTATTACATTTTATGAAAGTGTTTACAGTTACTTTAGTAATTGTTTAGTTTTATACGTGTTCCCATTATCTTATTATGTTTTATTAAAGTGTTTACACTTACTTTAGTACTTGTTTAGTTTTATACGTGTTCCCATTATCTTATTATGTTTTCTTAAAGTGTTTACACTTACTTTAGTACTTGTTTAGTTTTATAGGTGTTCCCATTGGTTTATTACATTTTATCAAAGTGCTTACACTTACTTTAGTACTTGTTTAGTTTTATAGGTGTTCCCATTGGTTTATTACATTTTATTAAAGTGTTTACACTTACTTTAGTACTTGTTTAGTTTTATACGTGTTCCCATTATCTTATTATATTTTATTAAAGAGTTTACACTTACTTTAGTACTTGTTTAGTTTTATAGGTCTTCCCATTAGTTTATTACATTTTATTAAAGTGTTTACACTTACTTTAGTACTTGTTTAGTTTTATAGGTGTTCCCATTGGTTTATTACATTTTATTAAAGTATTTACACTTACTTTAGTACTTGTTTAGTTTTTATAGGTGTTCCCATTGGTTTATTATATTTTATTAAAGTGTTTACACTTACTTTAGTGCTTGTTCAGTTTTATAACTGTTCCCATTGTTTTATTACATTTTATTAAAGTGTTTACACTTACTTTAGTATTTGTTTAGTCTTATAGCTGTTCCAATTTGGTTATTAAGTTTTATTTAAGTTGTCCTCTTCAGTACTACTTTTACCCCCACGGTTCAGTATTAAGTGCTTACCAATGCTAAAAGTTGGGGCTCGGTCTCTGCAGTGAGTAGAGTGCTTAAGAAAAAAAAAAAAAAACATGCAAACAAAAATCCTTAATACTTATCTAGTTTTGTGATTTTCTTCATTAACTATTTTGGTATTTTGAAAGATGTTCATTACTTTATCTTTTTATTTTATCTTATTGAAATTTCTCTTAATTCATTAAGCTCTATGAGATTTTATAATTACTTTTATTATTGTGTAGATTTCGCTTAGTACATAGTTTTTGTTATGAGAACACATACATCAGTTTTGATAAACATATGTTTACATGTTTCAAATATAACCAACAGAGCCTTAAACGCGTCTGTCTTTAATTATGTCATAATTAACGTATTAATTCTATATAACAAGTTAAAGTTTTTGCAAAAACTCGTTTAAACTAATACCTGATACTGGAGACATACAAAGTGTTGAACACATAATATTAGAACGATTTTAAATATACCATTCAGCAAATCCCATGACAACCGAAGCCAATATACAGATTTAGTGGGACTGAACGTATCAGAACACATTTTTACATTGTTTTACATTTTGTAGGTAGTGTGCTGCCACCAAACATTAATCGCTTTGGGGAAAAGTGTATAATAACCTTTCTGACGCAAAATATACTTGCACGCAGATCAATAAAAATGTGTTAAGATCAGGAACTTAACATTTCCAAAACGGGATATCCCTGGTATTTAACGGCATTGGAAAACAAAGTAATACGGAGCAACTTAGGGCTATAGGATCATCCAGAAAGACACTTGCAACAAGTCGTACCCCAGCAGTAGAAATCAAAGTGAAGTCTTGTTACAGGTGAGCATCCCTGAACATAAAGGTCAGTGGTAAAAGCCGTCCACATGCCCTAGGCGATAGTATGCAACATAACCATGTAGGAAAAGCAACACAAGTCACGTACACGCCAATTGTTTCCACGACATATCCAGGAATAGAGGTGGGGGGTTTGTTGTTGTGGTTGGTTGTGGATTTAATGGCGCAAAGCAAAAGTGCTATCTGCGTTAAACAGTATACTAATAAGAAAAAAAAGTTAAAATATATGTGAATTATTTAAAAGTGTACAAAATATAAAAAATAGACCAATACGTGTCAATTTTGTTTGTTTGTTTTGAAACAGGATTAAAAAATTAAATAGACTTAAAATGCCTAATGGCCCGTAAAAAGCTAAAAATACGATCATTCTGGTCAGTGTCACCGTCGCCAATTACACTGTCCAACAACAGAGGTAAGTACCGAGAAAAAAATATCTCTAAAATGACGTCGGCGCTGGTAATCATAGCGAAGAGAAGGTGTACAATTGTAACTTGGGTGTCAGATTCTCCATACTTTGGCGGACCGACCTTTCTAAAAGAAAGCCATGAGTTATGAAACTGTGGCGAGTGCATAGCCTGAACAAGACATCTTCTCTCTGGTCCTTAGGGAAACTAGACAGCCAAACTACAAAAGAAGGCTTTATCTGAAAAAAGTGACTGTCAACTTCTGTGAAGCCGTGCCTTGATGATAGGTTTGTAGACAGGTATGGCTGGGACAACGCCAGAGCAGACGGATTTAGTTGCGGTGTCAAAAGCTTGTTCCCACGAATACCAAGTTGGCCAGGAATCCAGAAAAAAAAAACGAATAGAAGTGAACAGTAAGCAGAACTCGGCCGGTCGTTTTCAAATATCCATAAGAAGAACCGGGTAAGAACTCGTGCGATTCTAATGCCAGCTAACCAGGGAGGTGGAGATGTGACCCACTGGTGACACTCGACGGGCTAACAATCATCCATGGATATTGTGCCAGGGACAGGTTAGGGATAAGGAGAGTGGAAACAAAGGTCAAGGTGAACCCTGTTTTGCTATCAGGCACCAATGTTCTGGATGATATGTATCTCAGAGAAGTAGTATCTTTATACAGAAACGAGGCCAACAGGATATCGATTAACAAGATAAGGCTTCTAGTCGTACTTACCATCACATACCTTAAACAGTTGGTGAATTAAATGAGTATTTATATAAATCCATATGAAAATTTACCTATCAAGTTGCTGGACGCAGCGCCTATGGATTTCTGTGCGATATAGCTGTGAAACAAGAGCTGGAAAGTCATTGTTTTCCTATTTCGTAAAGTAGATGGATTATAAAAGCAATACAGAGAGTGTTGACGTGCTTTGGTCATGACATTCTTACGACGAAACCTTTTGTAATGGAAACTATGCATATAAAGCATACCCGAACGTAGCCACGCGGACTATAACGACGTAGTGTTGCACCAAAATCGTCTTAATACAATGTACTCAATCTGTAATATATTTTTTTCGCGCATTTAATTATGGTTCTAAAAATGACCTTAGCGCCATCTATGGACGGCATAGCATGTGAACATAATATTTTTTCAACTATTGTTACTGCAAACAATATATTACAAATCGCATATTCCATTGATTAAATATTTTTCAGGATATGTCCTTCGGCATAGAAATTACTTTGTTTTTGTTTTTTTAACTTAGACGTCAATCGTTATTAAAACACATGGAATTAGTGAATATATCTAGAATATTTAAATCTCTAAATTAAACTTGCAAGTATCACACAATTTCTTGTTTCTTCAGAAGTGACATTTTCTAATTAGGCCCGGCATGGCCAGGTGGTTAGGGCGATCGACTTGCAATCTGCGAGACGCGGGTTCGAATCCCCGTCACACCAAACATGCTCGCTGTTTCAGCCGTGGGGCGTAAAAAAGTGACGGTCAATCCCACTATTCGTTGGTAAAAGAGTAGCCCAAGAATTGGCGGTAGGTGGTGATTACTAGCTGCCTTCCCTCTAGTTTTACACTACTAAATTAGGGACGGCTAGCGCAGACAGCCCTCGTGTAGCTTTGCGCGAAATTCAAAAACAAACAAACAAACCCTCTTTTGATATTCAAAACGTATTCAACTATTAAAACACTGGAATGACGTAGAGAACAAGCAGTTATAATATTAGCTATCAAACGTTTCTCTAATTAGCAATTAGTAAGAAAACATGGACTCCTTTAGAGCACAGGGGAATGGACTGATAGTTCTTGCCTTATTTTATTAATTGCAACAGTATGCGATTTTAAAGGTTTTTATTAATAATTAGTGAATAAAGCTTGGTTTACGAATGAACAACACTATATGTTTTTGTTTGATGTCTGTACATACTTAAGCATTATATATGGTTGTGCAGCTCTAATGAGTTATGTCAATCTGGACTCATTCTGATCAAGTTAAACCTATCTTCCTTGGACAAAAATCGTAATATTACTCAAGCACTAGTGTTTTTTGTGAAGATAACATTATTTAAAGTTCGTAACTTTAGAGCAATAAAATGTTGTTGTTTTTTAATTCCAAAACAACTATGAAATGTTCAGTTTCATCTCGGTATCGGTACAATGCCATTTTTGGCAGTAAAGATATAGGTTAAGAGCACGTGTTTGCTTAGTTTCTCGTTACCCTGCTAATGTCAGGGCGTTTTCCGTTGAGATAATTCTAACATATTAAATTTATGAACGATAGACAATGGATGTGATTTATAACTACATCCAGGCTTCGATCGGTTCCCTTACGTCTTCAATTAGCGTCTGTAGCTTTAACGTAGATCTTCTGCTTTTAGATGGGTTGTCTCAAAACTATTAGTTGATCCGAAGTTTTCTATCTTAAGACGAATTGTTAATACAGCTGGCTCTTATTATGAAACTACCCCGAATCGGGCCTGCTGTTAACATGGAATTACACTGCAACGGCCCGTTGTTAACATGCAACTACCCCGCAATTATCCTGCTGTCAACATGGAACTATCCCATATCGTTCTTGTTGTTAACAGGGAACTACCTCACAACATTATTGATGTTAACAATAATGTTGCCGTTGTTGTTAACGTGTTTCGTTCTTAACACGTGACTATCTCGTAACTACACCCTGACATAACATAGTTTTTAGTTTGAAAGTACTTGTTATGTATTATTATAACAAACTTTTATAAACTTGTTCTCAGAATTACGTTTAATAAAGTGTGCAGCTCCCGACCTGATTGTTTTTATCTTGTATGATAATGCGCTAGAATGTTATAGTTATTTAAGGTTATGGGAAATAGCCTGATAATAAGTTATTTTATACGACAAGAATGTTGTTCACGTTTATGAAACGACGTTTAATTACGTTGTTCTCTCTCCTCGTTTAAATACATATGTATACTTGGAAAACACGATGGTAAGATAATCAAACACATTTTAGTTCACTAACGTGCTTTGTAAAATATCAGCTATGGAAAACATGGTCTGAGTTCATCACTTGAGCTGAAAGAACTCGACCCATTATATCACTGTAACAAATGATATCATGTTGTGTACCATAATGGTGTCATTGTTTACAGCGATCACGGTTAATGAGTGACATGATAAACAGGTGTCATTGTTTGCAGCGATCTCGGTTAATGGGTGACATGATAAACAGGTGTCATTGTTTGCAGCGATCGCGGTTAATGGGTGATATGATAAACAGGTGTCATTGTTTGCAGCGGGGGAATTTTATTAGCAGTTTGGATTTAATTGATTTTGCCATTATTCCATGATGATATTTTACGAGGTCATTCATACAAGAGTTATATTCGAATAATCGAACACGTTAGTTAAATAAAATACGTTTTATTATTTTAACATCGTGTTTTGCGTAATTTTTTATGAAACCAAGTTAAGTGATTATGTCGTTTCAATATGGATGGTTGATTATAGTTCTGCCAGAGCTTGGCTGTGTCACATACCTAGAACAGTAAAGTAGATAAACTTGCTCATTTTTGGTACAGTGCTGACTTGACACTCATATTGGCCAGTGTCTTCTTTCTGAGGATATTTGACTCGTAGTGTCCAGTCGTCGGAGTTCTCTCTGTGTATTACTCGAAATCTCTGGTCACTGGAATATGTATAAAGGCCCACAGTCAACACGTGCAGGTCCTTTCTTCTGATCCACGACACCTACAGGAAGACAATTATTGTTTATATCATGTCACTCATTAACCGTGAGCGCTGCAAACAATGACACCTGTTTATCATGTCACCCATTAACCGCGATATATCTAATAGTAACAGAAAAAAAAAAACACAGCTTAATATCTTCTTACTTTATATCTAGGAATACTTAAAGTGAGACAACCAGGCAATATTTTTGAGACACAAATAACACTAAGAAAATGCAGAGTTCAACTGATAAAATATCTCAAATACATTGTTTATTAGTATTATGTGAAATGGGTGCTTTCATGTTATCCTAACTTTGGGTGCAATAAGGTTTCTTATAATCCTTTTTTCACGTGTAATTCTTGTTAACAGAATCATTAGGTTATTTTCTTTGGATGTTGCTAGTTTTTAGATTCGAGGAATTTGTTTCTTGTCAGTAAAAGCAGTTAGCGAACATTCGTCCTCTGCCTTTGTTTTGCTCTAAATTTTCGTTTTTTAGGTTTTGTAAGGTTTTTGCAGTGACGAGCACACATGTCTTGACGACAGAAAGAATTCTTTTCTCCCCATTTCCTGATCTCTCGTGTGTTTTTTTAGCCTATCTGCTGTGTCCACGTCGTGGAATCGAACCTTGGATTTTAGCGTTGTAAGACCGTAAACTTACTGCTGTCCTACCGGAGGATCTCTCTGGTGAAATGTTTTTATTTGTGAAACAAAGAGACGACTTTACTAATAAAAAATATGAAATATGCAAATAACAGGTGCCAAAACTAAATAGTGTCACATCAACGACAAATATGAACACCAACAAAACGTTTTATTTGATGTTGTACTCGTTATCAACAAAACTAAACAAAAAAGCCATTAAAGTGTTCTGTTTGTCTTATTCTTTCTCTTAAGCTGTTTTTTTTCTTTCATAGGCCGAGAGTAGCCTCGTGATTGTCGGACTGTGAATGCGAGGGTCCTTGACTCGTATCCCGAAAATTCCTTCTCTTGCAGTTTAGGACTGCGAGTTATAAGAGTAACGGTCAGCTCCCACTATTCATTTGGAGTAGCCTAGAAGTTGACAGTGGGTGATGTTGACTAGCTACCTTCTATTTAAGCCTATCAGTTTTATATTATAGACGACTAGCGCATAAAACCCTTTTGTGACTTAGCAAGAAGAGTGTGATACAAGACAAAACCAACAAATTAACCAATTCATTGCGGAAACAGTGTTTACTCCTGTACGGAACCTTTGAAGAGATGTCATTTTGTTGCGGTTTTTGCTATATC